TATATTATGTCGTCTTTACATTTATACTCGTTTGAACGTATCTCGTTTATTCTTGATTGATTGTCTCTCACCTGTATGTTATAGCTGAAACAATTCCCTTTTGGACGTGTCCCTTTATTTTTTACTTTGACGTCGTCATCATGGTCAAAAAGAATCAATTTTTAGAGCCCTGTCATCTCTCTTTTTTTTTTTACTTTGTCAAAAAAAAATAATCATTGACTGGCGGCAGAGTGTATTTCGGAGCTAACAGACTGATGTTCAGGTTATATGATGAAAAAATTTGTGTGACATTACCAACTAACAGGCGGTTTAAAAAAACATGATAATGTTAAATTTTGTGTCCCATTACGGTACACGCACACATCGTGACGTGCACATGCATTAAAATGTGAATATTCTCAATATCATTTTTCAGATAATTTAAAGAACGTTTCACGTCATTTTCAGCATTCCAAAACTTTCTATAATTTACGCGTCATAGGTTCATATCCACGCGCACAGCACGTACTGAAGCTGGAAATTAGGTTTTGTTACATATTTTGTGTGGTTCATATCAGGAGTCATTCCAGCATATTTTTTTTTTCATATAAAATTTTTCAATCATCAGCACTGCGTACGCCTTAAAGTACGGTGGATCACCAAACTCCTCCTTAGTGACGAGTTCAAATCTAGTTTCTTTTTTGATTTTCTCAAAACGGCACATTTGATCTTTGCTGCTAACGTAGCATATAGATCTACATCTGAAGTTGTGCACCTGACTTCAGTTATGTGACGTCATCTACGCGCCATTTTGTGAAATTCTATCATTGACCATAACTTCTTTACTAACAGGTATTTTTCAATGAAACTTGACACAAATATACTTCATATCAAGTGTCAACTTCCTGCACCATTACCGTCTGCACATCCACAGTAAATTACGTGCGTACGCGTGCCTCAAAATTAAAAAATGCTCAAAATCACTTTTTGACTAAATTAGAGCATGTTTTAGGTCATTTTGAGCATTTCGTAATTTTTCGAATTTTTCGTCAGCAGAGAGATGTCGCTGCAGCAAAACACTATTGTACACGGTACCAACGCTGTTCTAATATAGACAATGGGTTGTGCTCATATTATTTGTTATATTTTTATTATTCATTATTTTCACTTGACTCGCATAAATAATTTTGTTCGAAGAACATTTTATGCAGTTGTACTTCGCAGCACTTCACTTGCAATTTGCAATTTCTAGTATAGGTCATAATGGCTGATCGGACATTATGACGTCATCATGTTGCCATCTGAATTCAACAAACTGAATATTATCGATGACGTCATTTAAAAAAAATTTACATTTGAGCGTATCTTCCATATCTTTGATCGATTTTCTCCAAACTTAGAGGAAGATTATAACTGAGACAATTCTCTTTTATAAATGTCACGACTTTTTACATTTTGATGACGTCATCATTTTTTACATAATTTTTTTATCTGACCATTCATCTTTCTTTCCTCAAATCATTGAAATCGCCTATATTATCATAAATAATTGACATTTCTAAATCATATTCAATTGGCATAAAACTTCAAGTCAAGTATGAATGTAATACGTGCAATCTCCGTGCGTGCATCATAACATGCGCGTACAGGTGCGTCGAAAATTTAAGTGATCAAAATCATACATATTTTCAATCAGTTATAGCTCCTTAGAATGATCGGTAACACCCATTTCTTATTACATATTCTGAAAGCACATGGATTGTAGATATGATTTTATAGATCTAATGGCTGATCGGAAATTGTGACGTCATCATTTTGCCATCTGAATTAAAAAAAAACTTTTAATTTCCGCATTTATTAACATATTTATTTAAGCGTATCTTTCTTATTGTTAGTCAATTGTTTCTCATCTTCCAAGTAAGTTATAGCTGAGACAATTCTCTTTCGGAATCATGTCCTTCATTTTCATTTTGATGATGTCATCATGGTCAAAATGAATGATTTTTGGACCAGTTCATCTTCAATTATTGAGAAATAATATGTTGGACACACCAACAGAGAGCGGCAGACTGTATTTTGACGCTATCAGACTGATTATATAGTTCATATGAAGGGAAAATTTGTATCGTTACGACGAACAGGTATCAAAATAGTGCGTAGATGACGTCACGCGTGACTGGCAACCTTAAAAAGCTTGTTATGAATATTTCAGATGAAGCCAAATGTTCGTTGAAGCATGTGCGTAGCTCACGGCAATTTTGAGATATCGTGCGAACAGAAATGGAGAGAAAGAAAGAAGAATAAGAAAAAGAAGACTAGATTTGAACTAGTCACTGAGGACGAGTTAGGTGATCCGCCCGACTTGATCCAGACGTGTGCTGAAAATGACTTGAAACATGCTTTAAATTACTGCATCTAAAAGGTGATATTTAAAATGTTAAAAACTTTAACGCACACGTACGCGCACTGGACGACGTGCACGTGAAGATGCGTGCGCAAACTATAATCAAATATCACCTTTTAAATACAGTAATTTAAAGCACGTTTCAGGTCATTTTCAGTACACTTCTGGGGTCGATGTCCGGCTGATCATCTAACTCGTCCTTAGTTACGAAAAATAATATTCTTCATAAATTGAAGACCCATGGCAGATGCAGGCTGGAATTGTGTCCTAACACAACATAAAATGGGTAAATGGGTATGCGTATGGGTATGGGTAACGCCAACTTACATCCACAAGATCAGGCATATTATCAATAAAAAAATTGTTTAAATCGGTTTTCTTCAATATGCTTTTGATTACATGGTGGTTATTATGTGACACGCTACCAGCAGCAAAGATTTCTAATAGTTCAACTTTATTAACATTACTTAAACCCTCATTCTGCATGTTCACTACATAACGAACCCCAACAAACGGCAGCAGGGTGGATTGCTACCCGAAAGACACAAGTGTACTACATATCAAGATTCAACTTCGTGTGCAATACCGTCCGCACGCGTCACGCACACAGCACTATTTGAAATTGAAAATTAGGTTTTTTTGCATATCATGATTTCCTGACACTGAATTCACAGTTCCATTCTCTCTCAGCCATTTTAGTGCAAAAACAATGCCATACATGCGTATAAAATATACGAATTCGTACACTTTTGAGTCGACATACTGACATAGTATTAACAAATTTCCATGTCTTGTTAAATGCCTTTTTTTTAATTCTGATACCAAAAGTCTCCATGTTCAATCATTCAAAAATCATCAAAATAACTATCATCAGTCCCAGCTTATCACCGAATTCATTTTGATGTACTGATTTGTGTTTGTTTTTTTAACTGGAGATACATTATGAATGTAGGCTTCCCATGTCTTCTTTTTTTTTGCCATATTTTTCAGTTCATTAACCTGAAAGGATAAAGTATAAAATGCAAAATTAATTATGGTGAAAAATTTGTGAATATGAAAATGACTATAGATTCTTTTTATTGAAGATTTACTTACCTTAAGGCCACCCTTGCAGTATTGATTTACAATTTTGCTGCCTGTTTCATAATGAAAATTAATTTAAGATGCATAATGACTCTTGAAAATTGCGTATTTTTTACACTAGACCTCATCATAGGTAACTATCACAAGTCAAGCTGCAGGCCGATTCAAGAGTCCCCTCTTGCTAGACATTTTATTAACTGAACTGTAAAATGTAGTAGTAATAGGGCATAGGCCTAAGGGAGCCTCGCAAAATAAAGCAACGCGTATACGAGTGGACCACGCGATGCGATTAAAGGCAGTTTAATCCCATAGTTGGCCACGCGTTGGGATTATTTTCCTGGGCTACTCCACTTCGT